CGTGGTACATTCCCAGACGTTTCGCCGGCATCGTAGTCGGCATCATCAGTGAGTCTTGCCATTCTTAGCAGCATTCAACAACTCGTTAAAGAGACAAGTAAAGCCGATCCTTAGACCAAACGTGTGCTAAACAGTTGTGGTATCTCCCCTTATGCCCTGGGCTATTTACATTTCCTGTATCCTCCTATCATGCTTTCTCATTTTCAATTTTTACCGTGCCTATTTCGATGTATGTGGTATGCTCCTTAAGGCGGCTTTTATGAAAGCCATTCACACTCTACTTCACCCTTGTGCTGGGAATGTTGATCAGAGTCTGACATATTGTTAAGTAGTCCTCCTTCCTTTGGGGTCTTATCACAGGCTCTCTCTTGCCCCGTAAGATCTGTCTACTCTCTCCCTGATTCACATATTTCACTCGACCCCAGGGGTCGAGTGTTTATGGTTTTCATGAAAGCCGCTCAAAGAAGCACACCACACTACATCGAAATAGGCACGGTAAAAATTAATAAAGGAAAAGCGTGATAGGAGAATATAGGAAATGTGAATAGCCCAGGGCAAAAGGGGAGATACCATAACTGTTTAACACACGTTTGGTCTAAGGATCGGCTTCACTTGTCTCTTTGACGAGTTGTTGAATGGTGCTAAGAATGGCGAGACTCACTGACGATGCCGGGGAAACGTCCTACTCTGGAAATGATGATGAATACAATAGACTCCGGACTAGGTGCGTTCCTCTAAGTCTTCCTACAAGTATGACAGTTGCGAAAACAACTTGTATACAACGAAAGGATACTGCGACCACACAAAAGGCCACACCATCTTGGTCTTCATGCCTTTGATTTTATATATTTTTTAAACCTGCTACATAAATACCATAAACTTAAAAATTTAATAAAAAGGAAGAAAACAAATAGATAACAAACCGTTCGTTTAAAATCACTGGCCACTAAAAAGTTATTTGAACTATCCATAGAGAGAATAAGACTGGGCTGGACGAAGGCAAGAGCAGAATCTCCTGAAATTGGCGAGGATGACGGGACTTGTGAAGCAGCACAAGGAGGACAAAACGTAATAGAGTGTTGGCATCGCCAAGAGTTTGTTTCAAGTCTCTTTGAATGCATATTATTAGTATCTAGGCTCCATAGCTTTAGTTCACGATTGAACTCTGCACCGATTACAGCATGCCTCCAGGGCACACTACAAGGTAAACGAAAGATTTATGAAGTAAGCAGCGAAAGCACAGCGATGAATGGCCTTTGCCCCTGATATATTAAACTCTGTTTTATTGTAAAAGGCTTTCGAAAACTAAAGAATAGTAATTTTATTAGGTTTTCGAGTTTACCACTAAATAAGACATGAGCTATATTTACCCTATTTCGTTTAAAGTGATGAAGTACTTTCAATTGAATTTCCCAAAATGATATAAGTATAGCCGACATTTTCATTGTATTTAACATAGCCTTGATTTCTAAAAGGTGTTTTCACCCAGGGTGGACCACAGTTCGACATCACTCAGCTTCTGGCAGAATCCCTAGAGGGAGTCCAACCATGACAGTGCAGCATATAATATCGACACGTTAACCGCTACGGCACATTGCCACGAGTGCCCTTGGGTCACAGGGTAGATGCGAATTTCAAGGTAGATCGGACATTTTCCCATATCGCATTGTGTCGTGGGATTCTGGGTGCAGCAAACTTATATTTGCTACAACAATTGACAATATTACTTTTTTTGAGAGTTGTTTGACCTTGATTTCGCAACTCGGTCATACTGGTAGGAAGACTTAAAGGAACCCACCTTGTCCGGAGTCCATAGTATACATCATCATTTCCAGAGTAGGACCGTGGACGTGGTACATTCCCAGACGTTTCACCGGCATCGTCAGTGAGTCTTGCCATTCGTAGCACCATATTACAAACTCGTCAAAGGGATAAGTGAAGCCCATCCACACACCACACCACACCATCTTGGTCTTTATACCTACGATTATACTTTTTTTTCGTTTGCGAGTAGGCTGTCGAGACTAGACAAACTATATGTGATTTACAGGTACTCTCGAGAAGGTACTAAGACGAAAAGAGTAGCCGTCGATTGCTATGGCAAATATAAGCTTGCTTCGTCCACAATCCCACAAGAGAATGTGATATGTAAAAATGTCTGACCCGCTTTGAAATTCACATCTAGCCCATGACCCAAGCGCACTCGTGGCAATGTGACAGTGGTTAACGTGTCGAAATTAGATGCTGAACTGTCATGGTTCGACTCCCGCCAAGGATGTTGATAAAACCTAGGCGAGGTCGAGACTGCAGTCCACCCCGGATGAGAACACATTTTGGGAAAGCAAGGCTATGGGAAATTTAATGGAAACGTCAGCTCTAATCATATTATTATGTGAAAATGGAACTGTCAGTCCTTCGTCACCTTAAACGGAACGGAGTGTATACAACTCATGGAAGTGATAGTAAATCTAGCTAAAAATCTAATAACAAAACCACAGGGGAGAATGTAGTTCGCAGGCGAAATCATAAATAAAATAAGTCCAAAGACCTATAATAAAAGTTGGTCTAAAATAAGATTGAACCGTTAAATAAAACTCAAAATTAATGACAAGTTTAAGTCAATGACACTCCGGACATTAAAATTGGGAAATTAAACTCCTTGAATC